ATATTTCAGACTAAATGAATATCAAGCCTCAAAGAAGTGAACGAGATTCCTTAAAAATATTTCGAGGTGAGATCACATCCACTGGTGTGAGACTGACGTATTGCTGATTATACCAGATAATCCTAACATCAGTTTTCTCCTCCCTATATCTCGCGAATTCAAATGGATACAAAACTGAAACTAAAACATCTGTGGCACTGTACATGCTAAAGAACTATTCGAAACGTGGTTAAGTTTGTCCATCGGCACAACAATTTTATGATCAATCAGTATTTTGCAGATTCACATTTATGCCAGTTTTTATCCTTAGAATACTGACCGTTCATAAGATCACAGTTGTGGCGACAGCTAACCTTAACCATACATGTTTACAACACACAACAGAATGTATACTGTGAAGATATTCCAAAATAATCCGTTACCATGAGATATGTTTACCTAACACAGAACTTTCGCTGTTGGGGACAACATTTTCCGATTCATTACTAAATCTCTTAGCCGGTTATGCACAATTTTACCTTGCAGCTTACCAGGTATACGCGGAAAGTGTCAACAGATATGTTATATTATATTATTATATTTCAGCATTCTGTTGCATTTATGTACCTTTCATAGTCGTTCATAGTCATAGGAACGCAAGGCAAACCTAATACGCACAACGAAAAACACACCTAATGTGACATAGAAGGCGAAGGCAACTATTAGTCCGATAAATTTCCTATCCAGAATGGTCTAAAACAAGGAGATGCTTTATCGCCACTGCTTTTCAACTTTGCTTTAGAATATACCATTAGGAAGGTCCAGGAAAACCAGGTGGATCTGAAATTAAAAGGGGCATATCAGCTGTTGGCCTATGCCGATGATGTGAATCTACTGGGTGATAATATAGATACCATAAAGAAAAACACACAAACTTTAATTGACGCAAGTAAAGAGGTTGGTCTAGAAGTAAACACAGAGAAAACTAAGTATAGTATGTTGCTGTCTTGTCACCAAAATGCAGGGCAAAACCATGACATAGAGATAGGAAACAGAGTTTTGAAAAAGTGGCACAGTTCAGATATTTGGGAACAACGATAACACATCGAAACCTGATTCAGGAGGAAATTAAGAGGCGATCGAACTCGGGTAATGCTTCCTATCATTCAGTCCAGAACCTTTTGTCTTATCGTCTGTTGTCCAAAAACATAAAAATTAGAATATACAAAATTATAATTTTGCCTGTGGTTCTGTATGGGTGTGAAACTTGGTCTCTGACATTAAGGGAGGAACATCGACTGAGGGTGTTTGAGAAAAGGGTGTTGAGAAGAATATTTGGACCGAAGAGAGATGAAGTGACAAGAGGTTGGAGAAAACTGCACAATGAGGAGCTTCGTAACTTGTACTCTTCTCCAAGTATAATTAGAATGATCAAGTCAAGGAGAGTGAGCTGGGCAGATCATGTAGCACGAATGGGGAAGACGAGGAATGCATATAGGATATTGGTGGGAAAACCAGAAGGAAAGAGACCACAAGGAAGACCAAGGCGTAGGTGGGTGGACAATATTAAAATGGATTTTAGAGAGATAGGATGGGATGGGA